TCTCTCTCTCTCTCTCTCTCTCTCTCTCTCTCTCTCTCTGTGCCATGTAAGGATACAGCAAGAAGGCAGCTGTCTTCAAGACAGAAAGAAGACCCTTGTATGAATTGGCCAGCACCTTGATCTCGAAATTCTCAGTCTTCAGAACTAGGAAAAAGAGATTTCTGTTGCTCAAGCTCTGGTATTTAGTCTATGGTATTTTATTATGGCAGACTGAGTTAACAAACATTTTCACGTTTCTTCTCTTTTTTATCCAACTTACTGCATTTCCTTCTTATATTCTCCCATGACTCCATGATAAGACACTGTCGTCATTTGTCTCCCATTGTGCCTTTCAACAAAAAGTTAGATCAGAAAAGGGGTAGGTGCAATTGATATACAGAAAAATTTTTCTCCATAGTAAAATTGCTCAATTTCCTCTCCCCTAATTAATCCTTGAAACCAAGCTTCATGGTTGCTTGTAGCAAACAGAACATAAAAGAATGTAGAAGTAAGTTTTGCTGGCAATGTGCAGTGTTTTGCTGGGCTGGACTTTAACGCAGATTGGTAAGCAGGCATTTCTGAGCTGGTAGAAGGGTGCACTCCTGCTGTATTCCATTGTGTGGATCAAATGCTAGGGCTAATAGCGCTTAAATAATAAATGTGCTGCTTTACAGTATGCATCATCTAAATTTGAGGGAAATGAACAAATCTGGGAAGGCTCCAAGGGATGTACTTTCCTGACAATAATATCATCAAGAAAAGACATTAAGAAAGGGGAGAAAATCTTCAAGATCTTAACAAGAGACTGTTTTTTTCATCCAGCTTACCACATTGTCATCTTACTGCTAGTCATCATATTTTGCCTTTGTGACTGGCATGGTCACTGTTGCATTAGCAGATAGGTGGATCAGGAGATATTGGGGATTAAGGACTTAGTTATAGAAATGTAGGGATGGGGAGAAGAAGGTTTCCAGGAAATAGGACTTTGAGAAAAACAGAGGACTTTATACAATTTCAAGACTTTAAGGGTAACTATGGGTAGTCTTTCAACATAAATTTCTGGGGTTTGTTGTTAATACTTTTTCAAGGTAATAAGCTCCAGTGTGTGTCTCAAAAAGCCCCTCTTCTATCTTGCTCCTAGAGAGGTCATGGAGATTAGGAGGATACTGGATCTGAGAATTCAGCATGAGCCCTAAGTGAATTCAGATAATACTCCGAATCACTACTCACTGATCCTTAAAGAAAGTCTATGGGCCACATGTGTCAGAATTCTCTGGTATTAAAAATAGTGTATTGGGTCTCAGCCCAGGTGAACTGAATCCAGATCTTTGGGATTGGAGTATGGAAAATGATTTGTTTTGGGGGAATGTGATCTCCCTATGTTCCCAGGCTGGTTTCAAACTCCTAGACTCAAGTGATCCTCCTGCTTCAAGTTCTCAAGTGGATGGGATTACAGGCATCCATCACAGAGCATGGCTAAGAATGTAATTTTTACATTTTTATGTACATATGTATGTATGAATGAATGAATGATTTAGGGTGTACCTGTGCAGGTTTGTTATAAGGGTATATTGAATGATGCTGAGGTTTGGGTTTCTATTGATGACATCACATAAATAAGGAACACAGTACCCAGTAGGAAGTTTTTCAGTCCTTTCCTTCCTCTCATCCTCCCTTTTTGATTTCCCAGTAACTGTTGTTTTCACCTTTATGTCCATGCGTATCCAATGTTTAGCTCCCACTTATAAGTGAGAACATGTGATATTTGGTTGTTTATTTCTGTATCAGTTCACTTAGGAAAATAGCCTCCAGCTGCATCCATATTCATGCAAAGGAAATTATTTTGTTCTTTTTTATGGCTGCATAGTATTCTGTGGCATCTATGTGATGCATTTTTTAAATCCAATCCACCATTGATGGGGACCAGAATTGATTCAGGTCTTTGCTATGGTGAATAATACTGTGAAAAACATGTGAGTACATGTATCTTGTTGATAGAATGCTTTATTTTTCTTTGGGTAGATTCCCAGTAATGGGATTGATGGGTTGAATGGTAGTTCTGTCTTTAGTTATTTGAGAATTCTCCAAACTCCTTTCCACAGTGTCTAAACTAATGATTCCAACAGTGTATAAGTATTCCCTTTTCTTTGCAAACTTGCCAACATTGGTTATTTTTTGACCTCTTAATAACAACCATTCTGACTGGTGTGAGAAGACATCTCATAGTGGTTTTGATTAGTGTCTCTATGATAGCTGGTGATGTCAAGCATTTTTTTTTCCTGCATGTATTAGCTGCTTGTATGCCTTCTTATAAGAAGTGCCTGTTCATGTTCTTTGCCCACTTTTTAGTGTGTTTATTTTTTTTACTTAAGTTTCTTATAGATTCTGGATATTAGTCCATTGTTAAATGCATAGTCTACAAATACTTTCTCCAGTTCTGTAGGTTGTCTGATTACTTCATTGGTAGTTTCTTTTGCTGTTCAAAAGCTCTTTAGTTTAATTAGTTCTTCAATTTTTCTTTTTGTTTGCTTTTGAGGATTTAGTCATAAAAACGTCAGCCTAGGCTGACATTCAGGAGAGTATTTCCTAGGTTTTCTTCCAGGATTTTTATAGTTGGAAGTTTTAACATTTAAGTTTTTGATTAATCTTGAGTTAATTTTTGTATGTGGTGAGAGGTAGAGGTCTAGTTTTATGCTTCTGCATATGGTTAGCTAGTTTTCTCTGCACCGTTTATTGAACAGGAAGTCCTTTCCCTATTGTTTATTTTTATCAATATTGTTAAAGATTAGTTTATTGTAGGTATGTGACTTTTCTTCTGAGTTTTCTATATTGTTTTATTGGTTTATGTGTTCTTTTTTTTTTTTTCCTTACCAGTACCATGTTTTGATTACTGTAGCCTCATAGTATAGTTTGAAGTCAGGTAATGTGATTCATCTGGCTTTGTTCCTTTTACTTCAGATTGCTTTGTCTGTTCTAGCTGTTTTTAGTTCTATAAATATTTTTGAATTGGTTTTTCTAATTCTGTGAAAAATGATGTTCGTAATTTGATAGGAATAGCATTGAATCCATACATTGTTTTGAGCAGTATGAACATTTTAACAATATCCATTGTTCCAATCCATAAAAATGGGACTTTTTTGTTTTTGTTTTCTATGATTTCTTTCCGCAATGTTTTGTAGTTCTCTTTCTATAGATCTTTCACCTCCTTGGTTATATCTGTATATAAAGCAAATATACACAGTATTTGTAGGTATTTTATTCTTTTGTGGCTATTGTAAATGGGATAATATTCTTGATTTTGCTTTCAGCTTGAATGTTATTGGTGTATAGAACTGCTGCTGATTTTTTACATTGATTTTTATCCTAAAACTTTACTGGAGTTGTTTATTGAATCTAGAAGTCTTTTTGTGGAGTCTTTACAATTCCAAGGTATAGAATCATGTCACCAGTGAAGAGAAATAATTTGACTTCCTCTTTTCTAGTTTGGATGCCTTTTATTTCTTTGTCTTGCTGATTGCTCTAGCTAGGATTTCCAGTACTACATTGAATGGAAGTGAGAGAGTAGACATCCTTGCCTTGTTACCATTCTTAGGGATAATACTTCCATTTGTTGCTGTTTTAGTATGATATTCATTATGGGTTTGTCATAAATGACTCATTATTTTGAGGAGTATTCCTTTGATGCCTAGTTTTTTAGGGTTTTAATAATGAAAGGGTGTTGAATGTCATCAAATGCATTTTCTGTGTCTATTGAGATGATTGTATAGTTTTTGTTTTTAGTTCTGTTTATGTGGTAAATCACATTTATTGACTTGTATATGTTGAACTAAATTTGCATGCCAGAAATAAAGCCCATTTTATTGTGCTGAATTGGCATATATGTGTGTGTGTGTGTGTGTGTGTGTGTGTGTGTGTGTGTGTGTGTGTGTATTTTTAATTGTACTTTAGGTTCTGAAGTACATGGGCAGATCGTGCAGGATTGTTGCATAGGTACATATATGGCAATGTGGTTTGCTGCCCCCATCCCCTCTGTCACATATATCTGGCATTTCTCCCCATGTTATCCCTCCCCAACCTCCCTACCCCCTGTGGTCCCTCACTTAGCCCTCCCTAACAGACCCCAGGTTTTTAATGTGATGCTGGTTTCAGTTTGCTGGTATTTTGTTGAGAATTGCTACAACTGTATTCATCAGGGATACTGACCATTGTTTTATTTTTGGTTGTATTTTTGCTAGATTTTAGTATAAGAGTAAATAAGAATAATACTGGTTTCACAGAAGAAGTTAGAGAGAAATCAATCCTCCTTAATTTTGTGGTATACTTTCAGTAGGATTTGTACCAGCTCTTCTTTATACATCTGATAGGATTCAGCTGTTAATCCATCTGGTCCAGGGCTTTTTTTTTGGTTGGTAGATGTTTTATTACTAGTTCAATTATAAAACTCATTATTGGTCTCTTCAGGTTTTCAGTTTCTTCCTGAATAAATATTGGAAGGTTGTGAATTTTCAGGAATTTATTAATCTTCTCTAGTTTTTCTCGTTTTTGTTTATAAAGGTGTTCCTAATAGTCTCTGAGGATCTTTTGTATTTCTGTGGAATTGGTTTTAATGTCACATTCACTCTTTCTGATTTTGCTCATTTGAGTATTCTTTTTACTTTGTTAATTTAGCCAGAGTGTTCTATTGATCTTGTTTATACTTTCAAAGAACCAACTTTTCCTTCATTGATCCTATGATTTTTGGGATCTCAGTTTTATTTCTGCTCTGATTTTAGTTATCTTTTCTTCTGCTAGCTTTGGGTTTAGTTTATTCTTGTAGTTTCTTTAGATGCAAATTTAAATTGTCAATTTGAGATCTTTCTTTTTGATGTAGGCATTTATCACTATAAACTTTCCTCTTAACACTGCTTTTGCCACATATCAGGGGTTTTATTATGTTGTGTCAGCATTTTCGTTTTTTTCCAATGATTTTTTAAATTTTTGCCTTAATTTTGTTGTTTACCCAAAATTCATTTAGGACAAGTTGTTTAGTTTCCATGTAGTTTGTGTGGTTTTGAGAGTTCCTCTTTGTATTGATTTTCATTTTTATTTCAGTCCGATCTGAGTATAGCTTGGTATGATTTAGCTTTTTTTAATTTAATGACACTTGCTTAATGACATTGCTCATGGTCAATATTAGGGTATGTTCATATACAGGTGAGAAGAATGTATATTCTGTAATTGTTGGGTAGCATGTTATATAGATATCTATTAGGTCCAATTGGTCAAATGTCAAACTTAAGAAATTTTGTTAATTTGCTGTCTCAATCTTTCTGTCAGTGGGGTGTTGAAGCCTGGAAACTGAAAATTTGACAAGAATCTTTCAAAAATATTTTGTGATAAAGTTTGAGAGCCCTTTATTATGAGTGTCATATTGAATAGTGCTCAGTTCCTAATAGTCATCAAATAATTATTGCAATGAATTAATATATCTCCAGTATGTAGCCTAATGTCTAACACATTATAGGTTCCAGTTAATGTTTGTTGAATGAATCTTTATGATAGCTTATGGTTCTTAAGAGGCACTTTGGAATGAAAGAATCTATCTGTCTACCTAGCAAGCCAGCTGTCTATTTGTACATCCATGCAAGTTTTGGGATTTGGCATACCAAAGAGACACTACAAGAGCAGTTTGTTATATGGGCAAAAATTCCTTATTTGTT